CAGACCCACAGTCACGCAGCCCTCCCCAGTCACACTCAGCAGCCAGCCCCAGCCCAGCCATGGACAAAGAGCCAGAGCAGGTGCACAGCTCTCCAGGAGGGCCCGGACCAGGCCTGGCTCCCACTCCACTCAGCCCCTCTGGGCCAGCAACAGAGGGTGTGATGAAGAGCTCTGGTCAGGCGTGGACCCGCAGTGCAGGGCAGCCTGGCCAGGGAGACCTGACCCTCCATGGTGTGGGGAGCAGCCCGGACTGGACTGAGTTACTGGAATTAAGACTTATTCTATGCATCTGCTCTCCCACAATATGGCGCTGGGAGAGAAGTAAACAGCTTCTGCACAGCTGCCTCCAGTTCAACCAATAAACTGTAGGACTTGCTCCTGATTGGAGAGCAGCGTACTTGGCGTGTGGGCAGCCGAGTTGGGATTGGCGGAGGAGGACTATAAAGGAGGAGAGAGACGGCATGCACCAGGAACACCTATGGGGAACATCTAAGGGAACACCTGTGCAGCCCCCCGAGAAAGCCGGCCGGCGGTGTGCCGCTCCCCTGCGGAAGTGGGGAATGTGGCCAGGGGGAACTGCCCTTCCACGGAGGTGGAAGGGATAGTAGCCAACCCGGGAAGAACCAGCAGCAAACCCGGGGAGGGCCGAGGCGGAAACGAAAGCCACTTTGGGATTCTCAAGTTAGCCCGGGAATAGGGGGCGAAAAGTTAAAACCAGAAGCTGAAACGTAAGCCTGGTTGGGATCCGTCTGATTAGCCCGGGGAGCAAAGGATGGGAAGCCAAACCATGGGGTGGAGACGTATGCTGGGTTGAATTCGCCAGGCTAGCCCGGGGAACTTAGATTGAATGCTAATGGCGGAGACGCAAGCTACGCTGTGTGACTCCCGGAAGCCGCCACGTGCAGAGAGCACGGGGCGTGAATAGATAGGGAATGGGGCTGGCGCGAGGCCGTGGTGCAGACGCGAAGGGCGTGGAGACCGCGGAGCGCGCAGCCAAGCCGCGCAAAGCCGGGAAGCCGCGCGGAGCCGTGAAGCTGCCGGCAGGGCGAGGCGCCGGGAAGCTGCAGGGATAAGAGAAATAGAAGTTTAGAAGTAAAGTGAGAGAAAAAGGAATGCTGGAAGATAGAAGTGGAATGGGAGAAATAGGAATGCCCGGAGATAGAGAAATAGAGAAGTAAGGCCTCCCCACAGCATGGCAATGAGAGAGCTTGGATTCGGTCTGCCTGATTAAGTGAGGCGATGAGCACCTGCGGCGGCTAGCAGCTTATGCGCCGCAGGTCACCGAAGACAGGCACGAATTAACATCAGTAAGGCCTCCCCACAATACAGCAATTAGAAGGCTTGGATTCGGTCTGCCTGATTAAGGCGGTAAGCACCAGCAAGCAGCTCGACCAGAGTATGAGCTGCAGGTCACCGAAGATAGGCACGAACCAACACTAATAAGTCTCCCCCACAATACGGCAATGAGAAGGCTTGGATTCTGTTTGCCTGATTGTTAGGGCTTGTAAGCACCTGCAGGCAGTTCTAGCAGAGCAGAGCATGCGCTGCAGGGCACCGAACACAGGCACGCATCAGCGCCTAAAAACCTCCTCACAACATGGCGAAGAGAGGACCCGGATTCGGTTTGCCTGATTGATAGGACTTGTAAGAACCTGTGGCAACTCTAGCAAGTAGAGCAGAGTGTGTGCCGCGGGACACCGAAGACAGGCGCGTATCAACGCCAAAAAATAAAAAGAAAGGGGGATCTGTGGGGAGCAGCCCGGACTGGACTGAGTTACTGGAATTAAGACTTATTCTATGCATCTGCTCTCCCACAATATGGCGCTGGGAGAGAAGTAAACAGCTTCCGCACAGCTGCCTCCAGTTCAACCAATAAACTGTAGGACTTGCTCCTGATTGGAGAGCAGCATACTCGGCATGTGGGCAGCCGAGTTGGGATTGGCGGAGGAGGACTATAAAGGAGGAGAGAGACGGCATGCACCAGGAACATCTATGGGGAACATCTAAGGGAACACCTGTGCAGCCCCCCGAGAAAGCCGGCCGGCGGTGTGCCGCTCCCCTGCGGAAGTGGGGAATGTGGCCAGGGGGAACTGCCCTTCCACGGAGGTGGAAGGGATAGTAGCCAACCCGGGAAGAACCAGCAGCAAACCCGGGGAGGGCCGAGCAGACAAAAGAACAGCGCAGGGTCCTGTGTCATTCCTCCACAAAGAGGGGGAGCGACATAATGGTGCCGTGACTCGGATATGAAGCCTAGGCAGGGTTTAGTGTCGTTCCTCCACGAAGAGGGGGAGCGACACATGGTGCTCCTCCAGCAGCCCAGACAAGTGGGTCCATGGGACTCTGCCCCTCTGCACAGGGGCAGTCGCAGCCAGGCTGGTCCTGAGGCTCCTGAGGACAGAGGGAGAACAGGCATCAGCCAAAGAGGGCAGGGAGAGGGGGACCACGGCCAGGAGCCCAGTGACCACAGGCAGGACACAGCCACTGCTGGTAAAGGCTGGGCTCGGGGGGCTGAGCCCGGCAGAGCCCAACTCTGTCAGGATGAGCCGAGTCCCTGGAGGCAGTGCCAAGAGCCCTGCAGGCTGATCTAGACGTGGGCTGTGCTGGGACAGAGACAGCAAAGGAGGACGTGGGAACCTGATGAATGCCCACCCCCTCCCTGAACTGGGCTGGGCTGGGCTAAACTGAGCTGAGTCCTGCAGAGCTGGATTGCAATAAAAGGGCTGAGTCAGACTTAACTGCAGTGAACTGGGCTGGCCTGGGCTGGGCTGGGCTGAGCTCTTGCTCTGCTTGACTGGGCTGTACTGGGCAAAACTGGGCTGAGCTGGGCTGCGTTGAACTGGGTTGGGCTGGACTGGTTGGGTTGGACTGAACTCAGCTGGGAGGGGCTGGGCTGGGGTGGGTTGGGCTGAACTGGACTATGCTTGGCTGAGCTGGGTTTGACTGGGCTGAGCTGGGCTGAGCTATGCTGAATTGTGTTGAGCTGGGCTGAGCTGGGCTGGGCTATGCTGGGCTGGGCTTAGCTGTCCTAGGCTGAACTGGGCCAGGCTGGGCTGGACTGGGGAGGTTGAGCTGGGCTGGGCTGAGCTATGCTAGGATGGGCTGGGCCGAGCTGGGCTGGGCATGGTTGGCCTAGGCTGGGCTGGAATGGGCTGACCTGTGCTGGACTGGGCTGAACTGGGCTTGACCAGGCTGAACTAGGCTGAGCTGGGCTAGTCTGAGCTGGGCTGACCTGAACTGGGCTAGGCTGGGCTAAGCTGGGATGGTCAAGGTTGGGTTGGGCTGGGCTGAGCTATGCTGAGCTGGATTGAGCTGGAATGGGCAGGCTAACCTGGGCTGGGCTGAGCTATGCTAGGATGGGCTGGGCAGATTGAGCTGGGCTTGGGGGAGGGGGTGATTGAGCTGGGATGGGCTGGGCAAGGCTGAGCTAGGCTGGGCTAGTCTGGACTAAACTGGGCTAGGCTGGACTGAACAGGCTGAGCTGAGCAGTCTCTGCTGGCCTCTGGGGGAAGTGCAAAGTCTGTCTGGGGCTAAGCTGGTTCCCAGGTGTGGGGTTCCAGGCATGAAAACCACTGAAGACCTGAACCCTAGTGCAGCAGGGGGCGCCTGTGCTCCTAGGGCGGAGCCTGTGCCTCTGGGCACTGTCGGTCACTCTGTCCTGCAGGACTCAGAGACGTCCTGGGCAGGAGGCGGCCGTGTGGTCAGAGCTCCAGGAACAAGCGCTCCTTGGCATTGGAGCCCTGGTGGCCAGGAGGGCTGGCGACTGCTGCTCATGGGGGAGGGGTGTGAGTGTGAGACGTGGGGCTGGGCGAGGGTCTGGGACCCTGGCAAGGGCAGTGCAAGCTGGGCACAGAGCTGGGCCCCACCCCTGCCTCCACTCGGCCTTCACCAGGCCCAGCCTGCTTCACTGCTCCAGCCAGCCTGTCCCCTCCTCCCTTCAGCACCCCACCCTGTGCACACTGCCCAGGGGCCCTGAGGCCGGGGAGTCTGCGGCCCTCGACGGCTCCGTGCCAGCCAGGCTTGAGCAGCTCAGCCCCGAGGAGCCTGGAGACACAGGGCAGCAGGAGCCAGCTGGACACTTCCGGCCCCAGTCCTGGCCCAGCAGCTGTGTGACCCTGGGCTGGTCTCCTCCCCTCTCTGGGCCAGGTTCTGGCAGTGACGATGCAGGCGGAGTCCTGTGCTCCCAGGGCTGTCTGGGGTTGCAGCCTCGTGACTGTGATGGTCTCACAGTGTGTCCTGTATTGCAGCGTCCGCAACCACCCCAGGCATCTACCCGCTGAGCCTCCCCCTACATGTGTCAGATGGGAATTCACAGCCCGTGGTCGTAGCTGCCTGATCCGGGGCTTCTTCCCCCCGGGCCCTCTGCGTGTGAGCTGGAACGTCAGCAGGGAGAACGTGAGCGTCTATAACTTCCCACCTGCCCCGTCTGGCACTTCAGGCCCGTACACCGCATGCAGCTAGCTGATCCTACCAGTCACGCAGTGTCTTAGACATCAAAGCACAGCCTGCCACGTGGAGTACAACTCAGTAAACAGAGTCTGCCTGTGCCCTACCCAGGTCAGAGAGCAGGCTGGGGTGGGGCCATGAAGCTGCAGAGTGGGCTGCTGGGCTCCACCCAAGGAACTGCAGACCAAGGGCAGCCTGAGGCCAGGGATGGACAAGGGGCCACTGACACATAACAACTCTGTTTCTTCAGACTGCTGCCCAGCCAACAGCTGCTGCACCTGCCCCAGCTCCAGCTCTAGAAACCTCATCTCAGGCTGCCAGCCCGGCCTAACCCTGCAGCAGCCAGATCTCAGGGACCTGATCTTGGGCCGGGACGCCAGCCTCACCTGCACCCTGAGAGGCCTGAAGGACCCCAAGGATGCCGTCTTCACCTGGGAGCCCACAAACGGGAACGAACCCGTCCAGCAGAGCCCCCAGCGTGACCCCTGCGGCTGCTACAGTGTGTCCAGCGTGCTGCCCGGCTGTGCGGAATCCTGGAATGCGGGGACAGAGTTCACCTGCACAGTCACCCACCCTGAGATAGAGGGCGGCTCCCTGACAGCCACCATCAGCAAAGACACAGGTGGGCCTGCCCCCACCCCCAGGCAATGGGATGCTCTCCTCACCCTGGCCTCACTCCTCCCTCCCCTCCTGGGCTCCGAGGCTCCCTCCCAAACTCACAGAGGGAAACTGAGGCCAGCGTGTGGGACAGTAGAGCTTGGTCATCTCCTGATGCCCTGACCCCGCTCTCCCCTTCCAGGCAGCCTCACCCCACCTCAGGTCCACCTGCTGCCGCCGCCGACTGAGGAGCTGGCCCTGAACGCGCTGGTGACGCTGACCTGCCTGGTGCAGGGCTTCAGCCCCAAGGACGTGCTGGTGTACTGGACACACAACGGCACCCTGGTGGTCCCCAAAGACAGCTTCCTGGTGTGGGATCCCCTGCCCAAGCCCGGCCAGGACCCCACCACCTACGCTGTCACCAGCCTGCTGCGCGTGTCGGCCGAGGACTGGAACCAGGGGGACAGCTACTCCTGCGTGGTGGGCCATGAGGGCCTGGCCGAGCACTTCACCCAGAAGACCATCGACCGCCAAGCGGGTAAACCCACCCACGTCAACGTGTCTGTGGTCGTGGCAGACATGGAACGCATGTGCTACTGAGCCCCTAGCCTGCCCTGAATAAACTCCGTGCTCGCCCCCAGCAGCCCTGCGGGTTCATTGTGCCAGTCTGTCTCCTCGGGGGCTGCAGCCACAGGGCAGGGAGGGGGAGCGCCCCTGATCCTAGGAGCTGGGGTCTCGGGCACCTGGAGGGACATCATGCATGGTGCCCGTGAGTGTGCATGTGAGCGTGAGTGTGAGCACAGGTGCCTGAGAGTGAGCATGTCTGGGAATGAGTGTGCCTGGGAGTGAGCGTGTCTGGGAGTGAACATGCCTGGGAGTGAATGTGCATGGGGGTGAGTGTGCCTGGGAGTATGTCTGGGAGTGAATGTGTCTGGGAGTGGGTGTGTCTGGGAGTGAGTGTGTCTGGGAGGGAGCATGTCTGAGAGTGGGTGTGTCTGGGAGTGAGTGTGTCTGGGAGTGAGTGTGGGAGTGAGTGTGTAGGGAGTGGGTGTGTCTGGGAGTGAGCGTGTCTGGGAGGGAGCAGTGAGAGGGGAGGCTGAGCCGGGGTGGATTCTGAGGCAGTGCAGGCACAGCTCAGGTCGCACCCAGAGCCGTGGACACCAGCAGGAGTTCCTGGCAGCAGGGATGCAGCCATTGCCCTGGTGCAGAGGACGAGGGAGGGAGGGGGAGGAACAGGGGTGGTGCAGGGACCCCCGGGAAGAAGGTTCCACAGCCCCACAGCCCAGCAGTGCAGGACAGCGCTCACACACACATGGCACACAGCAGGCCCCACCCCGCACCACGCTCTCTGGGGCCTGCACACACACACGTGCTCACAGGGCACACATGCTCACACACGTCCCCCTCAGCTGCAGGGGAGCTCACACACAGACCCAGCTCCAGGAAGGCAGGGGCGTCTCCGCCCGACCCCAGACGGTTTCCCCAGGCCCAGCCATGCTGACCAGGCCCTGCTGGCCCTCTCTGGGCCTCCCTGAATATCCAGCCTTGCACAGCTCAGGGACCAGTTCCACAGCCCACCCTAGGCAGGCCCTGCTCACTACTGGGCCCCCAGACTCAACCCTCCAATCCCCTCCTGTGCCCGAGTCAGAGCCAAACCACAGGCAGAGAGGGGAAGGACAGAGACGACCCACACAGGCCCCTCCTCAGGCTCTGGCTTGTGTTCGTACCCCAGGAGCCTCAGAACAGTCCCAGACCAGTGTAGGAACCCCGGGCACCAGGACTCCCACAGGGCACCGGGCCCTGCTCTTGCCTCAGCCAATGATTCTCAGGAACTGATCCAAAGGAGCAGCTTCCCAAGAGAGAGGGAAAGCGGGCGAATTATCATGGAGAGCAGACAGATTAGCCCATGACCCTAAGACAGTGGACCATGGATGGACAGATGGACAGGTGGAGGGATGGATCAGTGGATAAATGCACAGGTAGATAGATGGCTGGGTTAATGTTAGGTGGGTGGATTTTTGGAATGTAGTTAGAGAGATGGATGGATGACAGCTTTATTGCTCAGTGAAATGATACATGGATAGATAGATAATAGATGGATAGATATGATCAGATATTCAGTTATAAGACAAACTGGTCAACTCCAATTTAACACAGAGATCCGTGACCCAGGACCTAGGACGTCTGGTCCACTCTGCTGGCTGCTCGCTGCTGGACTTCGCTGGCTGTCCCTCGGCCACTTCCCTGGGGAAGAACAGAGGCTCTGCTCACACCATGGTCCCTGCTCACGCCCTGGGCACACTGACCCCCACACTCAGACCTTGAGGTGTGCCTGGTCCTCTCTGCACCCAGGTCCCGGCCAAGGCCAGCCCAAGAGCAGGGCTTAGGCAGGAGCCACTGACACGTGGCTCAGCTCAGGCCAGCTGGGCTCTGGCCACACCTTGCCTGGACCAGCAAGGACACTGCTCAGCCTCCTGACATGCAGCTGCCCTAAGACACTTGCAGGGGCCAACCCCCTATGGGCCCTGCTCTCGCCCTCAGTCCCCATAGGAGACCCCACCACTCTGCCTGAGACCCCACCACTCTGAGGAGGCGTAGGAAGGAAGGGTTTGGGCCAGGCCCCACCCACACATTCACATCCTGGCAGGCCTTCCGTGTCTTGCAGGTTGTCAGGAGCCCCTGCCCTGTGTGGTGCTGGATCTGCCACAGGACAGCCTGGAGGAGGAGGCCCCCGGCGCCAACCTGTGGCCCACCACCGTCACCCTCCTCACTCTCTTCCTGCTGAGCCTGTTCTACAGCACAGCTCTGACCGTACCAGCATCCGGGGCCCACCTGGCAGCAAAGACGGACCCCAGTCCTATTATCTAATTCCTAGTCTTGATGACTGAATGTGGTCTGGGTATTGGACCCTGGTCATGACGACTGAGTCCTGGTCCTGCTAACTGGGCCCTGGTCTTGTGTACTATGCCCTTGTCCTCGTCACTGAGCCCTGGTCCTGCTCTCTGAGCCCTGGTCCTGCTCACTGGGCCCTGGTCCTGAGCCTGGTCCTGAGCCTGGGCCTCGCCCCATCACACACACCAGGACTCCTCTGGAGCTGCATCCTCTAAGGCTCTGACTCCTTTGCACACATCCTGAGCCCTGAGTGCTGACCGCTCTAGGACGTGACCTGCAGGAAGGCCGCAGCCCTCAGGGAGGCCCCAGCGGGCACCGCTTGCAGGTGCAGTCACGGCCGCACTCCTCATCCTCACTCCGTCCTCTCAGGCCCTGAGGGGTTGAAGGGGTGGAGAGGGGACAAGCCCAGGCCCCGGGCTGCCTGAGGTGGACTCAGTGCCTGCGGTCCCCGGGTCAGGGGTGCAGCGCAGGTGGGACCGAGGAGGACGGGCGGTCGTGTTGTTTTCCCCTGTGTTGCTCCTTCTTCAGAAGCTTCCTGTGCCCGTGCACCTGCTGAAACCCCTGAAATAGCCCTGGGCCGGCTGAGTCATCCCAGGCACAGCCCAGGTGTCCCCGCTGAGACCCCTGTCCTCAGGCCCTCCACGGAGGCCTGGCCAGATTGCCCCGAGGCCTGGGCAAGGACAGACAGCCCCGTGGGGACTGTGGGGCCCTAAACCCCTCAGGCCAGGGTCTCATGGACGCCACCCACCAGTCCCAGCCAGGCATCAGGAAGACCAAGAGCTCAGGTTAGCCGGGACCAGCCTGCCTTCTGCCAGGGTCAGCCCAGGCCCCGCTGCCTTCCACCAGGTCAAGCCGTCTCAGCCAGGCCGTCTCCCTGGGGCACTGACCCACAGCACGGCAGACCCACGGGGACCCGGGCTAGCACCTGCCACTGCACCTCAGCGTCCCCCTGCCCATGTCAGGGCCGATGGAGGGCACAGCCTGGCCCAGCCCCAGCCTTTGCGGCCCTCTGGGAGGGAACCAGCACACACAGGATCTCTCTCCTTCTCTGTAATTCTGCCTTCAAATAAATAAATCTTTAACGAGAAATAAAAGCTGTGCTGGAGCGAGGGCGCCGCACCCCTGCTGAGCGAGCACAGACACACACACACACACACACACCCCGCAGGGCCCTGCAGCCAAAGCCCCACTCTGCTCAGAGCACCAGATCTAGGCTCGGGGAAGGATCTCACGGGGACGCCGCTGTGGGCTGCGGGTCAGGGGACCCGGCACCCCGTGGGCTCCAGAGCTGCAACCAGCAGGGGAAGGGCAGCAGCACAGACACCCTCAAACTACACCACCCTGATGGAAGTGTGACCTTGAGCGAGGCCACCAATCAAAGCCAATGTAGAAAAATCTCTGTCCCCTCACCCACCAGACTCCCTCCCCATTCCCTCCCACCGCCACGCACAGGCAGTGTTGAGACCCCCAGGACAGGGGCCCAGTGACAGCAATGGCCCCAAGGAGACAACAAAGGACATCCCTGCCTCAGGGTCCCACCTGGCAGCCAGGGACTGAGCCCTGCCCGAGTTCACCCTGAGAACATGGGCTGAGCGAGGCCAGCAGGGCCTGCCTCCAGCCCTACCTTCTGCCCCGGGCCCTGCCCCCACCACAGCGGCAGGAGGCCGGCCCACTGCTTCCCAGGGAGGCTGCATCCTGAGGGCTCCTCCCGCCCATGGGCCCTGTCCTCCACACACAGGGATGAGCTCAGGACGCCCACTGTGGCTGACGACTCAGCGACACCCTCACAGCACGACCCCTGTGGACGCCTACGGAAGCGTCGGGCTGAGTGCTCGCCCCACCCCAGCCCCTCTCTGGGGCTCTGGGACCTGGAAGAGGGTCTCGGGCACAGGTGTCCAAGAAGTGCAGCCTCTGCAGCTGAGACCCAGCCTGCGAGAAGCTGGCACGGAGCCTCCCCACAGGACGGACAAACGCTCCATGGGACCTCAAATGCTGCTGCCAGAGCCCAAGATCTAGGATTTCAAACTCGGGGGAAACGGAAGGAAGGAGGCAGTGCGGAGAAAGAGAGAAATGTGCAAGGGGCAGGGAGTCCGGCCTGGCTGGAGCGGCTCCAAGGTCTGCCCACCTGGGCTCCTGCTGGGCCACCGACCCGCCATGGAAACCACGGGGCTGCAATGGCTCCCGGGTCTCCCTCACTTCCTGAGGCTGCCCAGTCCCTCTCCTGCCGCACCAGCACCAGTCCTGAGGGCTCAGGGGAGCTGTCCCGGCCAGCGAGCCGGGGACACAGCCACCACGGTGTGAGTTCTCCGAGTGTGGAGTCCACGTCCCTGGGGTCACAGCCCAGACAAACCCCGAGCAGATGAGACTGTCTTTGTTCTACACTGGCCTGCTTTGGTCCCAGAGCACAAGGCCGCCAGACCAGCCCGGGGACCAGTGTCCAGCCTCAGCTGCAGCTGCCCCAGTCCACTCCCCACCCTGCGTCCTGGGTCATGGCACAGGCCAGGCAGGGGACAGGAGTGCAGCACAGCAGGTGAAGCTGCCTTGGGACACCCACAGCCCACGTGGGAGCACCTGGGGTCACGGCCTGGCTCCGCCTCCGATTCCAGCTTCCTGCTGACCTGCACCTGGGAGGCAGCAGTGACCACTCCACTCCTGGGCCCTGCCACCCACAAGCCAGACCCAGGCTCCTGGCTTCCGCCTGCCCAGTCCCGGCTCTTGCGGGCCTCGGGGAGCCAACCAGCAGGTGGAAGATCTTCCTCTCTCTCTTCCTCCCTCTCTGCCGCCCTCCCGTGAGGACAGACGAAAACAAACAAGGCCAGCAGTTGTGGGAGAGCCCCTGTCCCCCACCAGGGCTGGCGCCTGCGCTCTCGTGGCAGTGCTGGCCGCCAGGGAGCTGTTCCCTGTGGAGGACAGCCCAACTGTGTCACTCGGCAAACCCTGATCCCACCGGGCGGTGTCGGGGTCACCAGGGTGCAGCCCACAGTGGGATCCCTGCCTTAGGAAAAGCACCCAGCGTGACCTGCTCCTCTCCCTGCCAGGGGACGGCACCTGCAGTGATCGCCCTCTGTGCAGATGAGGACTCCCAGGTGAGCTCGCTCTCCCTCTCTCTCCCTCTCTCTCTCCCTCTCTCCCTCTCTCTCTCCCTCTCCCTCTCTCTCCCTCTCTCTCTCCCTCTCTCTCCCTCTCTCTCTCTCCCTCTCTCTCCCTCTCTCTCTCCCTCTCTCCGTCTCTCTCTCTCTCTCCCTCTCTCAATCCCTCTCCCTCTCCCTCTCTCTCTCTCTCTCTCCCTCTCTCAATCTCTCTCCCTCTCCCTCTCTCTCTCTCTCTCTCTCTCTCCCTCTCTCAATCTCTCTCCCTCTCCCTCTCCCTCTCTCTCTCTCTCTCTCTCTCTCTCCCTCTCTCACTCTCTCTCCCTCTCCCTCTCCCTCTCTCTCTCTCTCTCTCTCTCCCTCTCTCAATCTCTCTCCCTCTCCCTCTCCCTCTCCCTCTCTCTCTCCCTCTCCCTCTCCCTCTCCCTCTCTCTCTCCCTCTCCCTCTTCCTCTCCCCCCACCCAAGGTGTGGACACTGGGAGAAGACCCCGCCCTGACGCTGGCTCCAGCCTGCAGCACTGGGAGAAATCAGTGCCTTCTCTGAAGCCTGCCCGTCTGCGCTGTGTTTGCTGCAGCCGTCAGCAATGCCTAAGACGCACGGCCACGAGGTCCCCGCACTGAGACTGCGGCCGTCACAACACCTGCCGAGGTCCTTGTGGCCAGGCCAGGGCACATCTGCCAGGACCCCGGGCCACGCCACAACCTAGCCTGCTGACCTGGCCCCTGCACCTCCCAGGCTCGCCGTGCTGTGGCCAGGGGGCTTCAGGTCACCCACACTTCACAAGACACTGCCGGGCCTGCCTCTGGGAAGCCCCCAGGCCCCAGCCCAGCCAACCCAGCCCTGTGGAGCTGGGCAGGTGTGTGCAGCCCCTACCAGCTCACCTGCCGCTCCCCGACAAACCCAGACCTCCCTGGGTGAGGACACGCGGGTACCTGAGTGTGGCTACGGAACCCTAAGGAGAGAAGACATGGGCCAGCAACACTGACGGGACAGCAACTAAGACAGGGCAGCCTGGAGAGAGATGGGGTGGGGGACTGGGGTGGATGCAGGGAGCCAGGGACAGGAAGAGCCTCACCCTCTGCCAGTCACAGGCCAGAGACCCCGAGTGGGAGAAGGCAGAGCTGGAACTGCAGGGGGCTTCAGTCAGGACCCCCGCTGTCGTTGGGGCTGACAGGACAGTAGCTATCCCCACCCTATACCAACCCTGAGACCCAAAGGCAGCCCTGTCCCCTGACCCTGGCCCTCCCATGAATGGGGCCTTCTCTCGGCCTGGGCTAGCACTCCCTGCTCTCCGTCCCCATCCCTGTCCCAGTGTCTCTGAGACTCTGTGTCCATTTGTGCCTCTCCTTCCCGAATCAGCCCCCAGCCCTGTCCTGTGGCCGGCCACGTGGAGCCGTCATCTCTCACGGCCCCTGGTGTCAAGGGCACAGATCAAACACACCTGTCCCCACCACAGACAGACCACAGACAAACATGACGAGGGGGCAAGCTGCACTGTCTGCTGGGACAGGAAGTGGTGAGTGACCCCAACGTGGGGCCAGACCCACAGTCACGCAGCCTCCCCAGCCTGCACTCAGCAGCCAGCCCCAGCCCAGCCATGGGCAAAGAGCCAGAGCAGGTGCACAGCGCTCCAGGAGGGCCCGGACCAGGCCTGGCTCCCACTCCACTCGGCCCCTCTGGGCCAGCAGCAGAGGGTGCAGATGAGGAGCTCAGGCCCAGGCATGGACCCGCAGTGCAGGGCAGCCTGGCCAGGGAGACCTGACCCTCCACGGTGCTCCTCCAGCAGCCCAGACAGGTGGGTCCACGGGATGCTGCCCCTCTGCACAGGGGCAGTCGCAGCCAGGCTGGTCCTGAGGCTCCTGGGGACAGAGGGAGAACAGGCATCAGCACAGAGAGCAGGGAGAGGGGGACCACGGCCAGGAGCCCAGTGACCACAGGCAGGGCACAGCCACTGGCCGTAAGAGACTGGGACAGGGGGCTGAGCCCGGCAGAGCCCAACTCAGTCAGGATGAGCCGAGGCCCTGGGAGGCAGTGCCAAGAGCCCTGCAGGCTGATCTGGACGTGGGCTGTGCTGGGACAGAGACGAGCAGAGGAGGACGTGGGAACCTGATGGATGCCCACCCCCTCCCTGAACTGGGCTGGGCTGGGCTGAGCTGGTCTTCGTTCAGCTGAGCCCGGCAGGCTGGCCTGAAAGGCCTGGCTGGGCTGCCCTGGACTAACCTGATCTTAGCTGGGCTGTGAAGAGCTGAGCTGGAGTAGGTTGTGCTGATCTGAGTGGAATCGAGCTCAGCTGACCTGGTTTGGGCTGAGAGCTGACCTGGGTGGGCTGAGCAGGGCTGAGCTGAGCTGTGCTGGGTGGGCTGAGCTGGGCAGAGCAGGGCTGGGCTGAACTGGGCTGGGTGGGTTGAGCTGGCTGAGGTGACCTGACTGGGCTGAGCTGGGCTGGGTGGGCTGAGCTGGCTGAGGTGACCTGTGCTGGATGGAACTTGGATAGACTGAGCTAGGTGGAGCTAGGCTAAGCTGGGCTGAGTTGAACTGAGCAGGACTGAACTGGGCTGGGCTGATCACACCTGGGCTTGGCTGGGCTGGGCAGGGCGGAATGAGCCTGGCTGGGCTGAGCTGGGCTGAGCTGAGCTGAACCGATGTGGGCTATGTTGAAGTGGGCTGAGCCGGGCTGAGCTCATCTGGGCTGGGCTGAGCTGGCTGAGGTGACCTGACTGGGCTGAGCTGGGCTGGGTGGGCTGAGCTGGCTGAGGTGACCTGTGCTGGATGGAACTTCATGGACTGAGCTAGGTGGAGCTAGGCTAAGCTGGGCTGAGTTGAACTGAGCAGGACTGAACTGGGCTGGGCTGGTCACCCCTGGCTTGGCTGGGCTGGGCTGGGCAGGGCGGAATGAGCCTGGCTGGGCTGAGCTGGCCAGAGCTGGGCTGAGCTGGGCTGAGCTGGGCTGAGCTGGGCTGAGCAGGACAGCGAGGGCTGAGTGGGCTGAGCTTGCAGTCTCTGAGGCCTCTGGGGGAAGTGTAAAGTCTGTGTCTGGGGCTAAGCTGGTTCCCAGGTGTGGGGTTCCAGGCATGAAAACCATTGAAGACCTGAGCCCTAGTGCAGTAGGGGGCGCCTGTGCTCCTAGGGCGGAGCCTGTGCCTCTGGGCGCTGTCGGTCACCCCTGTCCTGCAGGACTCAGAGACGTCCTGGGCAGGAGGCAGCCGTGTGGTCAGAGCTCCAGGAACAAGCGCTCCTTGGCATTGCAGCCCTGGTGGCCAGGAGGGCTGGCGACTGCTGCTCATGGGGGAGGGGTGTGAGTGTGAGACGTGGGGCTGGGGCGAGGGTCTGGGACCCTGGCAAGGGCAGTGCAAGCTGGGCACAGAGCTGGACCCCACCCCTGCCTCCACTCGGCCTTCACCAGGCCCAGCCTGCTTCACTGCTCCAGCCAGCCTGTCCCCTCCTCCCTTCAGCACCCCACCCTGTACACACTGCCCAGGGGCCCTGAGGCCGGGGAGCCTGGGGCCCTCGACGGCTCTGTGCCAGCCAAGCTTGAGCAGCTCAGCCCCGAGGAGCCTGGAGACACAGGGCAGCAGAGCCAGCTGGACACTTCCGGCCCCAGTCCTGGTCCATCATCTGTGTGACCCTGGGCTGGTCTCCTCCCCTCTCTGGGCCAGGTTCCAGCTGGGATGAGGCAGACAGGGTCCTGTGCTCCCAGGGCTCTCTGGGGTTGCAGTCATGTGACTTCGACGGTCTCACAGCGTGTCCTGTGTTGCAGTGAACGCAACCTCTCCCAGCCTCTTCCCGCTGAACTTCTTCCCACCTGTGTCGAACGGGAATTCAAAGACCGTGGTCGTCGGCTGCCTGATCCGAGGCTTCTTCCCGCTGGGGCCTCTGAGTGTGAGCTGGAACGCCAGCGGGGAGAGCGTGACCTTCCCACCTGTCCAGTCAGATACTTCAGGCCTGTACACCATGTGCAGCCAGCTGAGCCTACCAGCCACGCAGTGTCTTGGAGGTGACAGTGTGACCTGCCAAGTGGAGCACAACGAAAACACCCAGCATCTGGAGGTGCCCTGCCTAGGTCAGAGGGCAGGCTGGGCAGCAGCGGGGGAGGCTGCAGAGTGGGGTGCCTGGCCACGCCACAACAATTGAGGCAGATGGGCAACCTGGGCCAGGGATGAGTGAGCTGCACACTAACATACGTGGTCCTCTCTGTTTCCAAATGTTCAGACTGCCACTGCCCCTGCCCCAGCTCCTCGTCCTCCTGCTGCGGTGAGCCCAGCCTGTCCCTGCAGCGGCCAGACATCGGGGACCTGCTCCTGGAATCGAAGGCCAGCCTCACCTGCACCCTGAGCGGCCTGAAGGACCCCGAGGGCGCCGTCTTCACCTGGGAGCCCACAAACGGGAACGAACCCGTCCAGCAGAGCCCCCAGCGTGACCCCTGCGGCTGCTACAGTGTGTCCAGCGTGCTGCCCGGCTGTGCGGAGCCCTGGAACGCGGGGACAGAGTTCACCTGCACAGTCACCCACCCTGAGATAAAGGGCGACTCCCTAACAGGAACCATCAGCAGAGGTGGGCCTGACTCCACCCCCGGGCAATGGGCTGCTCTCCTCACCCTGGCCTGACTCCTCCCTCCCCTCCTGGGCTCCGAGGCTCCCTCCCCGGAAAACAGAGGGAAACTGAGGCCGGCACGCAGGACAGTGGGGCTCGGTCCTCCCCCGCCGTCCTAACCCCGATCTCTCCCTTCCAGGCAGCCTCACCCCACCCCAGGTCCACCTGCTGCCGCCACCATCGGAAGAGCTGGCGCTCAACGCACTAGTGACGCTGACCTGCCTGGTGCGGGGCTTCAGCCCCAAGGATGTGCTGGTGTACTGGACGAACAAAGGCGTGAATGTCCCTGAAAACAGCTTCCTGGTGTGGGAGCCCCTGCCCGAGCCCGGCCAGGACCCCACCACCTACGCCGTCACCAGCCTGCTGCGCGTGCCGGCCGAGGACTGGAACCAGAATGAAAGCTACACCTGCGTGGTGGGCCATGAGGGCCTGGCCGAGCACTTCACCCAGAAGACCATCGACCGCCTGGCGGGTAAACCCACCCAAGTCAACGTGTCTGTGGTCGTGGCAGACGTGGAAGGCGTCTGCTACTGAGCCCCCTGGCCTGCCCTGAATAAACTCCGTGCTCGCCCCCAGCAGCCCTGCGGGTTCATTGTGCCTGTCTGTCTCCTCGGGGGCTGCAGCCACAGGGCAGGGAGGGGGAGCACCCACGGTCCTAGGTGTTGGGGCTCGGGCACCTGGAGGGGATATCATGCATGCCGCCCTAAGTGTGCATGTGAGTGTGAGTGTGAGCACAGGTGCCTGCGGGAGTGAGTGTGCCTGGGAGAGAGCGTGTCTGTGAGTGAGCGTGTCTGGGATTGAGTGTTTCTGGGAGTGAGTGTGCCTGGGAGTGAGCGTTTCTCTGAGTGAGCCTCTGTGGGAGTCAGATTGGGAGAGAGCGTGTCTGGGAGTGAGCGTGTCCAAAAGTGAGTGTGTCTGGGAGTGAGTGTAACTGGGAGTGGGTGTGTCTGGGAGTGAGTGTGTAGGGAGTGAGTGTGTCTGGGAGTGAGTGTGTAGGGAGTGAGTGTGTCTGGGAGGGAGCGTGTCTGGGAGTGAGTGTGTCTGGGAGGGAGCAGTGAGAGGGGAGGCTGAGCCGGGGTGGATTCTGAGGCAGTGCAGGCACAGCTCAGGTCGCACCCAGAGCCGTGGACACCAGCAGGAGTTCCTGGGCGGCAGGGATGCAGCCATTGCCCTGGTGCAGAGGATGAGGGAGGGAGGGGGAGGAACAGGGGCTGGGTGCAGGGACCCCTGGGAAAAGGGTGCCCAGCAGTCCCCCAGCGTGGCAGAGGTCAGCCCCATCAGATACCACCCAGCAGTGCAGGACAGCACTGACACACACAGGGCACACAGCAGGCCCCACCCCGCACCACGCTCTCTGGGGCCTGCACACACACACGTGCTCACAGGCCACACACGCTCACACACGTCCCCCCTCAGCTGCAGGGGAGCTCACAGCCCAGACCCAGCTCCAGGAAGGCAGGAGCGTCCCCGCTCAAGGCTGTGACAGTTTCCTCAGCCCAGCCCTGCTGCCCAGGCCCTGCTGGCCCTCTCTGGGCCTCCCTGAATGTCCAGCCATGCACAGCTCAAGGATCACTTGCACAGCCCACCCTAGGCAGACACTGCTCACTGCTGGGTCCCAGACTCAACCCTCCAATCCCCTCCTGAGCCCGAGTCTGAGCCAAACCACAGGCAGAGAGGGGCAGGGCAGAGACCACCCACACGGGCCCCTCCTCAGGCCTTGAGCTTCTGATTCGCACCCCAGGAGCTCCCAGACCAATGTAGGAACCCCGGGCACCAGGAATCCAAAAGGCACAGGGCCCCAGCTCTTATCAGATGACCTTGGGGCCTCCCAGGGGCTCTGGCTCTGGCCATCACCCTTGTCAGGGCCCAGGTGAAGAGGAGCCCCACACACAGCAACTTCTCCCCCAAGAGGGTCCCAGCCCAAAGAACTCAGGGGGAGGAACAGGCCAGGCAGGAAAACAGTACCCACACAAGTACCCCAGCCACCCCATGGGCCCAGGAACTGAGCCAAAGGAGCAGCTTCCTAAGAAAGAGGGAAAGGGGGAGAATTAACATGGAGAGCAGACAGATAAGCCAGTGACCACATGACACAGTGGAACGTGGATGGACGGACAGACAGATGGATGGATGGATGGATGGATGGATGGATGGATGGATGGATTGGTGGATGCACAGATCAGTGGATGGATGGACAGGTAGATGGATGGTTGAAAGGATGGATGGTGGCTGGTTACAGATTGATGGATGGATAGGTAGATGAATAGATTGATGGATATTTAATTGGATGCAAAGGTAGGTTTGTGGGTGGGTAGATGGATGGATGGATGGATGGATGGATGGTTGTAAGTTGGAGAGTAGATAGATGTATGGGTGAATCAAAAACTGGATAGGATAATTGAGGGAGGGATGAGTACTTGGATGGGTGGAGGATGACAGACTGATAGATGTGTAAAATGATAGATGGATAGAAATGTAACATATTGAAATAGATGATTGATGTACCAGTAATGACAAACTGGTAAACCCCAATTCAACACAGAGATCCGTGACCCAGGACCTAGGACGTCTGGTCCACTCTGCTGGCTGCTGGCTGCTGGACTTCACTGGCCGTCCCTCAGCCACATTCCCTGGGGAATGTGGTGCTCACACCATGGTGCTCACACCATGGTGCTCACACCATGGTCCCTGCTCACACCCTGCGCACACTGACCCCACACTCAGACCTTGAGGTGTGCCTGGTCCTCTCTGGACCCAGGTCACGGCCAAGGCCAGCCCAAGAGCAGGGCTTAGGCAGGAGCCACTGACACGTGGCTCAGCTCAGGCCAGCTGGGCTCTGGCCACACCTTCCCTGGACCAGCAAGGACACTGCCCAACCTCCTGTCCTGCAGCTGCGCTAAGACAGTTGTAGGGACCAACCCCCTATGGGCCCTGCTCTCACCCTCAGACCACATAGAGACCCCACCACTCCACCCCCAGGCCCCGAGGAGGCGTGGGAGGAAGGGCTTGGGCCAGGCCCCACCCACACGTCCAGGTCCTGGCAGCCCTTCTGTGTCTTGCAGGTTGTCAGGAGCCCCTGCCCTGTGTGGTGCTGGATCTGCCACAGGACAGCCTGGAGGAGGAGGCCCCCGGCGCCAACCTGTGGCCCACCACCGTCACCCTCCTCACTCTCTTCCTGCTGAGCCTGTTCTACAGCACAGCTCTGACCGTGACCAGCATCCGGGGCCCACCTGGCAGCAAAGAGGGACCCCAGTACTGAGGCACAGGTGTGGGGATGCCCTGGGGAGGGGGAACCGGGCCCAAGGAGAAGTCACTGCTGCTGCCATAGAGGGGCACACGGGTCCCTGCAGGAATTGGGACATGGGTGCCCTGGGTCAGGGTGGGAGCATCCCCGAGTGCAGCAGCTGAGGATTCCACCAAGGCTCCCAAGAGCCAGGCCCGGACTGGGACAGGGGAGAGGGGTGAGGACACCGCCCACCCTCAGCTGCCCCTGTCTCTGCAGGAGGGAAGCGTGCAAGAGCCCCTAGGAAAGCCAGCTCTGCATGCCAGAGCCCAGCCCTCCATGAAGCAGCGGACCCCCCCATCCCCCTGCCAGGTGCACTCAACCCTTCCCAGACGAATATTCTCGCTCTGCTGGACGATGGCTCAGGGAAGCCACGGTGGCTGCAGCCTGGGAGACGCCTGCCACTCCAACACAGGGACTTCAGCATGGAACTGGCCATGGTTCCCAGACACGGCCTGGTCCTGCAGGAAGCTCAGGTGTAAATCCAGTTCTTCCCTGGGGATGGCTCAGCAGGTCAATTCCCTGGATGTGGCCATGGACGTGGTTCTGGTCACTCAGTCCTGGTCCTGGGCTCTGCACCTGTCCTGACCCTGTCACTGGTTACAGCTCCCCACCCCTGAGTTCTGGACCCTGCGTTTGCCCACTGCTCCCTGGGGCTACTGCTGAGCCCTGCTTCAGGTCCTGAGTTGGGTCCTGAACACAGGCAGTGGCCCTGGTCAGTAACCCAAGCTCCAGGTCACTGCCGCTGTGACTGGTCAGCGAGCTGAGGCCAGCTTATTCAGTCCTGGTCCCCAGCTCGGGGCCACCCCTGAGCACTGATTCCTGGTCGTAAACGCTGGCCACACCATCCGCACTCCTCCTGCTGTCTGCCTGCTCCCCAAGGCCTCCAGACCCTGCAGCTGCACACCTGGGGGCCCCTGATGCTCCAGACCCAGGCCTCACCAGTGCTGCCACGGCAACCACGAGGACCCGGGCTGCTTCCTGCTCAGGGCAGCCTCTGCCGCGGAGCCGTGGCCCCCACAGGACACGAAGCGCAGCAGCTCCCACAGCTGTTCCTTCCCCGGGAGCCGCCTGCCAGTGAGGTTCCAGCTCTGGGGCCAGCACTTTGCACAGCAGGTTAACGCCCTGGACTGATGCACGGGAATCCTATATGGGCACCAGTTCAAGACCTGGCTGCTCCACTTCCAATCCAGCTCTCTGCTATTGTCTTGGAAAGAAGTGGAATACAGCCCACGGCCTTGGGCCCCTGCACCCGCGTGGGAGACCCGGAAGAAGCTCCTGGCTCCTGGCTTGGATTGACACAGCTCCTGCCTTTGAGGCCAACTGGGAGTGAACCATTGATTGGAAGATATCTATCTCTCTCTCTCTCTCTCTCTCTGCCTCTCCGTCTCTGTGTGTACCTCTGACTTGCAAATAAATAAATCTTAAAAAAAAAAAAAAAAGATTCCAGCTGTGCCTGGGCTGGAGAGGTGGGCCTGAGTTGGCACCCATGGCAGCCTTGCCGTCAAACTGGCCTCCATGGAAACGCACATGAACTCACCGTGAGACCCCACCTTGCAATATCAAGGACACAGGTATACCAAGAAATACAGGCCACATGTACACCATGAAATACCATACACACATAAACCATGAAATACCACATACACATGTACACCATGAAATACAACCCACAAGTACACCATGAAATACGACACTTACATACACCGTGAAATACAGCCCTTATATACCGCAAAATACCACACACAAATACACCACAAAATACAGCCCACATGTACACAATGATATGCCACACAAACTTACACAGTGAAATACAGCCCACACGTACACCATGAAGTACCAAACACACACCATGAAATACAGCCCACATGTACCAAGATATATCACACACACATACACCACAAAATACAGCCACATATACCGTAAAATACGCACACATACAACATGAAATACCACACACACATGCTCTGCAGAATACCCACATATACACCATTAAATACAAACCACATGTATGCTGTGTAATACTACACGTGTGTACACAATGAAATACAGCCCACAAGTGAACGGTGAAGAACTGTAAACATGGACACTGGAATATCGCCTGCCCGTGCTCCGGGGTAGCCGCCATGTGATGGCGACAGTCTCACAGCGTGTCCTGTGTTGCAGATCCCACGGAAAGCCCCAGCCTCTGCCCGCTGAGACTCCCCTGTCCTCTGTCGGGAGAGACCGTGGTCGTCAGCTGCCTGATCCAGGGCTTCTTCCCCCTGGGCCCACTGAGCGTGAGCTGGGAACAGCACCCAAAGCAGCCTCGCACCCTCTCTCTATCCACGCGAGGTGCACTGACTGATCTCTCTCTTCTCTCTCTGTCTCTGTGTCTCTGTGTGTGTGTCGCTCTCTCTCTCCCTCCACATGGGGCATCCAGATTGATCTCTGGCTCGCCCTCTCTCTCTCTCTGTCCAGGTGTGCACGCTGGGAGAATCCCCTCCCTGACGCCAGCCTCCAGCCTGCAGACCTGGGAGAAATCAGTGCCTTCTGGCGAAGCCTGCTCGTCTGTGCTGTGTTTGTTGCAGCAGCCACAAATGACTAAGACGCACGGCCACGAGGTCCCCATGCACTTTCCCTGCATCTCAGCCCCCAGCCCATCCTGTGGCTGGCCAGGTGGAGCCCTCCTCCTTCCATGGCCCCAGGGCTGACTGGGCCAGGGCACACACACCTGTCCCCACCACAGACAGACCACAGACCAGACATGACGTGGAGATGAGCTGCACTGTCTGCTGGGACAGGAAGTGGTGAGTGACCCCAACGTGGGGCCAGACCCACAGTCACGCAACTCTCTCCAGCCTGCACTCAGCAGCCAGCCCCAGCCCAGCCATGGGCAAAGAGCCAAGCAGGTGCACAGCTATCCAGGAGGGGCCCGGACCAGGCCTGGCTCCCACTCCACTCGGCCCCTCTGGGCCAGCAGCACAGGGAGCTGATGGGGAGCTCTGGCCCAGGTGTGGACCTACAGTGCAGGGCAGCCTGGCCAGGGAGACCTGACCCTCCATGGTGCTCCTCCAGCAGCCCAGACAGGTGGGTCCACGGGATGCTGCCCCTCTGCACAGGGGCAGTCGCAGCCAGGCTGGTCCTGAGGCTCCTGGGGGCAGAGGGAGAACAGGCATCAGCACAGAGAGCAGGGAGAGGGGGACCACGGCCAGGAGCCCAGCGACCACAGGCAGGGCACAGCCACTGGCCGGAAGAGACTGGGACAGGGTTCTGAGCCCGGCAGAGCCCAACTCAGTCAGGATGAGCGGAGTCCCTGGAGGCAGTGCCAAGAGCCCTGCAGGCTGATCTGGACGTGGGCTGTGCTGGGACAGAGACGAGCAGAGGAGGACGTGGGGAACCTGATGGACGCCCACCCTCTGCTGAACTGGGCTGGGCTGGGCTGGGCTGAGCTGAGTGCTGCAAAGCTGGATTGCAATAAATGGGCTGAGCATGACTTAGCTGGGGTGAATTGGGCTGGGCTGAACTCTGCTGGGAGTGGCTTGGCTGGGCTGAGCTGGGCTGGGCTGTGCTGGGTTGGACTGAGCTGGGCTGAGCTGGGCTGGGCTGGGCTGGGCTGGGCTGGGCTGGGCTGAGGTGGGATTGATGGGCTGAGCTGGGCTGGGTTGGGCTGGGCTGAGCTGGGCTGGACTGGGCTGGGCTGGGCTGGGCTGAGCTGGGCTGGGCTGGGCTGGGCTGGGCTGGGCTGGGATGAGCTGTGCTGGGCTGAGCTGGGCTGGGCTGAGCTGGGCTTGATGGGCTGAGCTGGGCTGGGTTGGGCTGAGCTGAGCTGAGCTGGATTGGGCTGGGCTGGGCTGAGCTGGGCTGGCTGGGCTAGGCTAAGCTGAGCTGGGCTGAGCTGGGCTGGGCTGAGCTGGGCTGAGCTGGGCTGGGCTGAGCTGGGCTGAGCTGGGCTGAGCTGAGATGGGCTGGGCTGGGCTGGGCTGAGCTGGGCTGGGCTGGCTAAGCAGGGATGGTCAAGGTTGGGTTGGGCTGGGCTGAGCTATGCTGAGCTGGAATGGGCAGGCTACCTGAGCTGGCCTGGGCTATGCTGGGATGCACTGGAATGAAGTGGGCTGGCCAGGGCTGAGCTGGGCTAGGCTGAGCTCTGTTAGAGGGGCTGGGCTGAACTAGGCTGGGCTGGGCTGGGCTGAAGAGGCTGCTGTGAGCAGTCTCTGCTGGCCTCTGGGGGAAGTGCAAAGTCTGTCTGGGGCTAAGCTGGTTCCCAGGTGTGGGGTTCCAGGCATGAAAACCATTGAAGACCTGAGCCCTAGTGCAGTAGGGGGTGCCTGTGCTCCTGGGCGGAGCCTGTGACTCTGGGCGCTGTCGGTCACCCCTGTCCTGCAGGACTCAGAGATGTCCTGGGCAGGAGGCGGCCGTGTGGTCAGAGCTCCAGGAACAAGCGCTCCTTGGCATTGGAGCCCTGGTGGCCAGGAGGGCTGTCGACTGCTGATCATGGGGGAGGGGTGTGAGTGTGAGACGTGGGGCTGGGCCAGGGTCTGGGACCCTGGCAAGGGCAGTGCAAGCTGGGCACAGAGCTGGGCCCCACCCCTGCCTCCCCTCAGCCTTCACCAGGCCCAGCCTGCTTCACTGCTCCAGCCAGCCTGTCCCCTCCTCCCTTCAGCACCCCACGCTGTGCACACTGCCCAGGGGACCTGAGGCCGGGGAGCCTGGGGCCCTCGACGGCTCCGTGCCAGCCAGGCTTGAGCAGCTCAGCCCCGAGGAGCCTGGGAGACACAGGGCAGCAGAGCCAGTTGGACACTTCTGGCCCCAGTCCTGGCCCAGCCGCTGTGTGACCTTGGGCTGCTCTCCTCCCCTCTCTGGGCCAGGTTCTGTCTATGACAAGGCATGAGGGGATCGGTGCTCCCAGGGCTCTCTGGGGCTGCAGCCTCGTGATGTGATAGTCTCACAGCGTGTCCTATGTTGCAGAGCCCACAAAAACCCCCAGCCTCTTTCCTCTGATCCTCCCTGGACCTGTGTCGGGACAGACCTTGGTCGTCGGCTGCCTGATCCGGGGCTTCTTCCCGCTGGGCCCTCTGAGTGTGAGCTGGAACGTCAGCGGGACGAACATGAATTTCCCGCCCGTCCCGTCTCCACCCTCCAACCTGTATACCACGTGCAGCCTGCTGATCCTCCCACCTCAAGACTGTCCCGCAGGAAACTGTGTGGCCTGCCACGTGGAGCACAACGATGACGAGGGCCAGGACCTCACTGTGCCCTGCCCCCCAGGTCAGAGGGCAGCTGGGGGTGGGGCCATGACTCACCGGGGTGGGCTGCTGGGAGGCAGCCTGGGCTGAGGGGGAAGGGAGCCTGAGGCCACTGACAAGTCCACCTTCTCTATTCAGAGGACCCCTGCAAAAACTGCCCCACCATCAGCCGCAGCCGCTTCACCGCCCACTGCCAGCCCAGCCTGTCCCTGCAGCAGCCAGACCTCGGGGACCTGCTCCTGGGCCGAGATGCCAGCCTCACCTGCACCCTGAGCGGCCTGAAGGACCCCGAGGGCACCGTCTTCACCTGGAAGCCCACAAACGGGAAGGAGCCCGGCCAGCGGAGTCCCCAGCGTGACCTCAGCGGTGGCTACAGTGTGTCCAGTGTGCTGCCCGGCAGTGCGGAGCCCTGGAATGCGGGGAAAAAATTCACCTGCACAGTCACCCACCCTGAGATAGACAGCGGCTCCCTGATAGCCACCATCAGCAAAGATACAGGTGAGCCTGCCCCCACTCCCGGGCAATGGGCTGCTAACCTCACCCTGGCTTGATCTTCCCTCCCCTCCTGGGCTCTGAGTCTCCCTCCAAGGCTCATAGAGGGAAACTGAGGCCAGCGAGGAGGACAGTGGGGCTCAGTCCTCCCCTGCCACCCTGACCTCGCTCTCCCACTTCCAGGCGTCATCACCCCGCCCCAGGTTCACCTGCTGCCGCCGCCGACTGAGGAGCTGGCCCTCAACGCGCTGGTGACACTGACCTGCCTGGTGAGGGGCTTCAGCCCCAAGGACGTGCTGGTGTCCTGGAAGCACCAGGGCCAGGAGGTCTCCCAGGACAGATACCTGGTGTGGAAGCCCCTGCCTGAGCCCGGCCAGGAACCCACCACCTACGCCGTCACCAGCCTGCTGCGCGTGTCGGCCGAGGACTGGAACCAGGGGGACAGCTACTCCTGCGTGGTGGGCCATGAGGGCCTGGCCGAGCACTTCACCCAGAAGACCATCGACCGCCTGGCGGGTAAACCCACCCACGTCAACGTGTCTGTGGTCGTGGCAGACGTGGAAGGCGTGTGCTACTAAGCCCCTGGCCCTGCCCTGAATAAACTCCGTGCTCGCCCCCAGCAGCCCTGCGGGTTCATGGTACCTGTCTGTCTCCCTCGGTGGCTGCAGCCACAGGGCAGGGAGGGGGAGCGCCCCTGGTCCTAGGAGCTGGGCCTCGGGCACCTGGAGGGGACATCATGCATGGTGCCCATGAGTGTGATCAAAGGTGCCTGAAGGACTGAGCATGTCTGGGAATGAGTGTGCCTGGGAGTGAGTGTGTCTGGGAGTGAGCGTGTAGGGAGTGAGTGTGTCTGGGAGGGAGCAGTGAGAGGGGAGGCTGAGCCGGGGTGGATTCTGAGGCAGTGCAGGCACAGCTCAGGTCGCACCCAGAGCCGTGGACACCACCAGGAGTTCCTGGGCGGCAGGGGTGCAGCCATTGCCCTGGTGCAGAGGACGAGGGACGGAGGGGGAGGAACAGGGGCTGGGTGCAGGGACCCCCGGGAAGAAGGGAACCAGGCTAGCCCCCCCAGACCAGCAGAGGTCTGCCCCAGGCAGACACCACCCAGCAGTGCAGGACAGCGCTGACACACACAGGGCACACAGCAGGCCCCACCCCGCACCACGCTCTCTGGGGCCTGCACACACACACGTGCTCACAGGGCACACACGCTCACACACGTCCCCCCTCAGCTGCAGGGGAGCTCACAGCCCAGACCCAGCTCCAGGAAGGCAGGGGCGTCCCCGCCCGAGCCCCAGACGGTTTCCCCAGGCCCAGCCCTGCTGCCCAGGCCCTGCTGGCCCTCTCTGGGCCTCCCTGAATGTCCAGCCATGCACAGCTCAGGGACCAGTTCCACAGCCCACCCTAGGCAGGTCCTGCTCCCTGCTGGGCCCCCAGACTCAACCCTCCAATCCCCTCCTGAGCCCGAGTCTGAGCCAAACCACAGGCAGAGAGGGGCTGAGCAGAGACCACCGACACAGACACTGCCTCAGACTCAGGCTTCTGATTCGCACCCCAGGAGCTCTCAGTTCAATGTGGGAACCCGGGCACCAGGACTCCCACAGGGCACCGGGCCCCTGCTCTTGCCTCAGATGACCTTGGGGCCTCCCAGGAACTCGCTCTGGCCGACCCCCTTGTCAGGGCCCAGGTGAAGAGGAGCCCCACACACAGCCACTTCTCTCCTCAGGGATGCCCGGCCCTAAGAGCTGTAGGAGGAGGAAGAGGCCAGGCAGGGAAATGGTACCCACACAAGTGCCCCAGCCACCCCATGGGGCCCAGGAACTGAGCCAAAGGAGCAGATCCCTAAGAAAGAGGGAAAGGGGGAGAATTATCATGGAGAGCAGACAGATAAGCCAGTGACCACATGACACAGTGGACCAGGGACGGACGGACGGATGGATGGACGGACAGGTAGAGAGATGGATCAGCATATGGATGGAAGGATGGATGGACAGGTGGTTGGTCATGGACAGAGGGATGGACAGGTATATGGACAGAGGGATGGATGCTTAGTTGAATACATTGGTGGGTTGGTGGGTGGGTAGATGGACGGAAGGGTGAATTGATTTTTGGATGAGTAGTGAATAGATGTATGGATGGAGGGACTGCAGGGAGAGATGAGTACATGGATGGGTGGAGGATGACAGACTGATAGATGTGTGAAATGATAGATGGATAGAAATGCAACATATTGATATAGACGATTGATGTACCACTAATGACAAACTGGTAAACCCCAATTTAACACAGAGATCCGTGACCCAGGACCTAGGACGTCTGGTCCACTCTGCTGGCTGCTGGCTGCTGGCCTCCGCTGGCCGTCCCTCAGCCACTTCCCTGGGGAAGAACAGAGGCTCTGCTCACACCATGGTCCCTGCTCACGCCCTGGGCACACTGACCCCCACACTCAGACCTTGAGGTGTGCCTGGTCCTCTCTGCACCCAGGTCCCGGCCAAGGCCAGCCCAAGAGCAGGGCTTAGGCAGGAGCCACTGAGTACGTGGCTCAGCTCAGGCCAGCAGGGCTCTGGCCACACCTTCCCTGGACCAGCAAGGACGCTGCCCCGCCTCCTGTCCTGCAGCTGCGCTAAGACACTTGCAGGGGCCAACCCCCTATGGGCCCTGCTCTCGCCCTCAGACCCCATAGAGACCCCACCACTCTGCCCCCAGGCCCTGAGGAGGCGTGCGAGGGAAGGCCTTGGGCCCAGGCACACCCACACGTCAGGTCCTGGCAGGCCTTCTGTGTCTTGCAGGTTGTCAGGAGCCCCTGCCCTGTGTGGTGCTGGATCTGCCACAGGACAGCCTGGAGGAGGAGGCCCCCGGCGCCAACCTGTGGCCCACCACCGTCACCCTCCTCACTCTCTTCCTGCTGAGCCTGTTCTACAGCACAGCTCTGACCGTGACCAGCATCCGGGGCCCGCCTGGCAGCAAAGAGGGACCCCAGTACTGAGGCACAGGTGTGGGGATGCCCTGGGGAGGGGGGAACCGGGCCCAAGCAGAGGTGACTGCTGCTGCCATAGAGGGGCACAGGGGTCCCTGCAGGACTGGGACATGGGTGCCCTGGGTCAGGGTGGGAGCGTCCCCAGGTGCAGGAGCTGAGGATTCCAAGGCTCCCGGGAGCCAGGCCCAGGCTGGGACAGGGGAGAGGGGTGAGGACACCGCCCACCCTCAGCTGCCCCTGTCTCTGCAGGAGGGAAGTGTGCAAGAGCCCCTGGGAAAGCCAGCTCTGCATGCCAGAGCCCAGCCCTCCATGAAGCAGTGACCCCCCATCCCCCTGCCAGGTGCACTCAACCCTTCCCAGACGAATGTTCTCGCTCTGCTGGACGATGGCTCAGGGAAGCCACGGTGGCTGCAGACTGGGAGACGCCTGCCACTCCACCACAGGGACTTCAGCATGGAACTGGACGTGGTGCCCCAGACACGGTCTTGCCCTCAGGAAGCTCAGGTGCAAATCCAGTGCTTCCGTCCAGCGCCGTGGAGCTCTAGGTTGATCCTCCGCCTACAGTGCTGGCATTCCATCGGCGCCGCTTCTAGTCCTGGTTACTCCTCTTCCAATCCAGCTCTCTGCTGTGGCCTGGGATAACAGTAGAGGATGATCCAGGTCCTTGGGCCCTGCACCCACATGGGAGACCAGGAGGACACACCTGGCTCCCGGTTTCAGATCAATGCTGCTCCAGCCATTGCAGCCATCTGGGGAGTGAACCAACAGAAGGAAGACCTTTCTCTCTGTCTCTCTCTCTCTCAATGTCTGTAACTCTACTTCTCAAATGAATAATAAAAATCTTTTTAAAAAATCCAGTTTTCATCTGGGAGAGCGTTAGGAAGTCAACTCCATGGAAGTGCCATGGACTTGGTCCTGCGCACTGGGTCCTCGTCCTGCTCACTGAGCCCTGGTCCTGATCTCTTTGACATGGTCCTTATCTCTGAGCCCTGGTCCTGTTATCTGATTCCTGGTCTTGATGACCTAATGAGGTCTGGATATTGGGCCCTGGTCATGACGTTGAGCCCTGGTCCTGAGTACTGTGCCTTTGTCCTTGTCACTGATCCCTGGTTCTGGTCACTCAGCCCTAGTTCTACTCACTCAGTCCTGGACCTGGGCCCTGCACCTGTCCTGACCCTGTCACTGGTTACAGCTCCCCACCCCTGAGTTCTGGACCCTGCGTTTGCCCACTGCTCCCTGGGGCTACTGCTGAGCCCTGCTTCAGGTCCTGAGTTGGGTCCTGAACACAGGCAGTGGCCCTGGTCAGTAACCCAAGCTCCAGGTCACTGCCCCTGTAACTGGTCAGCGAGCTGAGGCCAGCTTATTCAGTCCTGGTCCCGAGCTCGGGGCCACCCCTGAGCACTGATTCCTGGTCGTAAACGCTGGCCACACCATCCGCACTCCTCCTGCTGTCTGCCTGCTCCCCAAGGCCTCCAGACCCTGCAGCTGCACACCTGGGGGCCCCTGATGCTCCAGACCCAGGCCTCACCAGTGCTGCCACGGCAACCACGAGGACCCGGGCTGCTTCCTGCTCAGGGCAGCCTCTGCCGCGGAGCCGTGGCCCCCACAGGACACGAAGTGCAGCAGCTCCCACAGCTGTTCCTTCCCCGGGAGCCGCCTGCCAGTGAGATTCCAGCTCTGGGGCCAGCACTTTGCACAGCAGGTTAACCCCCTGGACTGATGCACGGGAATCCTATATGGGCACCAGTTCAAGACCTGGCTGCTCCACTTCCAATCCAGCTCTCTGCTATTGCCTGGGAAAGCAGTGGAATACAGCCCACGGCCTTGGGCCCCTGCACCCATGTGGGAGACCCGGAAGAAGCTCCTGGCTCCTGGCTTGGATTGACACAGCTCCTGCCATTGAGGCCACCTTGGGAGCGAACCATTGATTGGAAGATCGATCTCTCTCTCTCTCTCTCTCTCTCTCTCTCTCTCTCTGCCTCTCCATCTCTCTCTTTGTACCTCTGACTGGCAAATAAATAAATAAATCTTAAAAAAAAAAAAAAAAAAGATTCCAGCTGTGCCTGGGCTGGAGGGGTGGGCCTGAGTGGGCACCCGTGGCAGCCTTGCCGTCAAACTGGCCTCCATGGAAATGCACATGAACTCATCGTGAGACCCCACCTTGTAATATCAGGGTGGCCCTGTCCAAAAGAGCAAAGATAAGTGTTAGGGAGGAGGTGGAGCCAAGGGACTCCTTGCATGTGGCTGGCAGGAGCGTCAATCAGAACGGCCACGTGCAAACATATGGTCGTCTCGCAAACAACTAGTCCTGTTCCCAGGTCCTTACCCGAAGGAAACAAGGTCAGAGGTCAGGGAGAGGTGCTGTCCCTGCTCTTGGCTGCACTTCCCCCAGTAGCAAATGCCAGGACTCGACCCAAGTGTGCACGGACAGAGACTGGGCAAAGAACATGTGCTTCCAGTGCACCACGAAATACCATCACTACACACAGCACGAAATACAGCCCACATGTACCACGAATTACAGCCTGCATGTACCACGAAATACCATACACGTGTGTACCATGAAAATCAGCCCGCATGGACCATGAAATACCATACACACACATCGTGAAATACCATACACACGTACACCACGAAATACCACAC